TTCCTGATATCCAGCTTCAATCTGGTTTTGTGTAACTTGAGCCCGTCATTAGATACCCTGCCCTCTAAGATGATGGAGAACAGATATTGCCCCCTTCTCTGTAGGACTACCTTTCAAGTCTTTGAAAAGTGTTATCCTCTCTCCCCTCATTCTTCTTTTTTCAAGGCTAAACATGCCTCGAGAGCATGCTTTTTCCGTCTTTCTTGCTAGGGCTTGTTTTCCAGTCCCCTGACTATTCTTTCTTGCCCTTCTCTGAACTTCCTCCAGTTTCTTGTCGTCCTCCTTCAATGTGCGGCGTCCAGAACCGGACACCGTACTCTAGACAAGGCCTAAATCAGCGCTGAATAGAGGAGGACGTTGTACCTTGCGGGATCTGGAGACTATGCACCAAACGAGGAGCGATTCATTAAGTTGTGTGGTCCAGGGACCTAAAAGGATAAGGATAATGAGACTTCAGGGCCTCCTATAAAACCCCAATCAATAAAGGAACCGACCTCTGTGATCCCTATGCACAGAGATAAATGTGGCTGAAATATGTTATTGAAAAACTCCATCATGTTTTCTGGTAGGCTGTTAACTCACTGTCCTGAAATGGGCAGGTTTGGAGGCAAAATTTCTCCCCAGATAACACGCCTAGGAAACCTCCAGCTTTCTCTTGCGTTGCTGGCCTTCCTTGTGACTGCATCCATCTCTCGGTCTGTCCCTTTCTGGCGCCATCCATCATCTACCCCCCCCCCTCGTCTCTCCCCAGGAGAGAGACAGAGAGAGAGAGAGACCTGAGGGGAATGTTGAGCAGAGACACCGAAGCAGGAGAAGGGAAAGGAGGGAGAGAGATGGAGAAAGCAGGCGGCGAAGGAGAGATGGGTGGCAGGAGAGAACCGCAGATGGAGAGATAAATAATCTGCATGGATGGACGGACCGATGGGCAGATGGCTTCGATGAATCGTTAAACGCTGTCTGTGGACAGGTGGGTGATAGGCAGGTGGAGGGAGTGATGGGCATATTGAAGGATTCTGTGGATGGATGGATGAGCGCGGGTGGGTGTTTAAGGAGACGGATGGGTGGTTGAGAGAGGAGCGGCGAGGAGGAATAAGGAATGGGGGCATGAATGCATGCATGGAGAAAAGCGAACTTTTGATGAGTTGATGGGAAGACTCAGAGCTCGGAGAAATGCTGGTTTGCGAAGGGGGGGGATTTTTGGACAGCAGCTCCCAGAAGCCCCCAGCCAGCGATGCATTCTGGGAGCTGTGGTCGAGGAAAACAACATTTCTCCGAGCTCTTGCGAGGGCCTTGAACTTCAGGAAGAGTGAGCACAGGGTAATTGGCTGGTGGATCTTTAGTAGGTCCTCTGTGAAGAAGATAGCCAGTGTGGAGTAGTGGATAGAGTAATGGGGCTAGGAGGCCTGGGTTCGAATCCGTGCTTAGACATGTAAACTGATTGGGGATGCGGAACTAGTAATACCACTTATGTAGAAAGCCCTATTAGGGTCACTATAAGTTGGTTTTTGACTTGACAACACATAAGAACAACAGCTATGAAGGCTAATGGTTTTTGGATGGATGTAAGGTGTGAGCTGGGAAGTACACAGAACTAGATGTACAGTAGATGTTTTTGGTCCTGGATATGTGAAGGTGCACATCCATCTATCTATCCATCTATCCACCCGTCCGTCCGTCCATCCATCTGTGCATCCTCTGTCTGTCTGTCTGTCTATCCATCCATCCATCCATCCATCCATCCATCCATCCATCCATCCATCCATCCATCCATCCATCTATTGTCCGTCCGTCCGTCCGTCCGTCCGTCCATCTGTCCCTCTATCTATCTATCTATCTATCTATCTATCTATCTATCTATCTATCTATCTATCTATCTATCTATCTATCTATCTATCTATCTATCTATCTATCTATCTATCTATCTATCTATTCCTGAGAAGAGTAGACTGCATGGAGACACAGGAGAAGCTGTTTCTTGGCTGAAGCTGTTGTGGAATTCTCTGCCTCACTGGTAGCTCACTTGGCACAAGTACGACCGCTTTTCTTTTGCCAAGTTGAAATATAGCTGCTGCTGAGAACCTTTGGAATTTAAGGATCACGGCTTTGACAATTAATGGCTTGTATATGTATGGTTTTTCACGGTCTGAATGGTTTCATGGCCAAAACCCTGTTGATTAGCATTGTAAGTCAGACTGGTGTAGGCCCACTAAATCAATGGGGATTTAGTTAGTCAACTCTGTAAATCCCATTGATTCGAACGGGTCTCCTTTTTTACACAGAACTAGATGTACAGCTTATATACCGCCCCATAGCGCTTCAAGCACTCTCTGGGCGGTTTACAAGTTAATTATGCAGGCTACACATTGCCCCACCCCACCCCCCAGCAAGCTGGGTACTCGTTTTACCGACCTCGGAAGGATGGAAGGCTGAGTCAACCTTGAGCCGGCTACCTGGGATTTGAACCCCAGGTCGTGAGCACAGTTTTGGCTGCAGTACAGTGGTGTAACCACTGCACCATGAGGCAATTTACTTTAACATACTAAGCCACAGATTAGGCCTATTTGAAGGTGAGAAATATGTAGAGGTGTTGACTTACTAAATGTTGTTGCTCACAGACTCTGGAACTCCCTCCCACTGGAGGCCAGGCTGGCCCCATCTTTGCTGTCCTTCCACAAGCAAAGACCTTTCTCTTCAGGCAGGCTTTCCCTGAGTGACTGGCTGTCTGAGTGCTTTTTGTCTTATTGCTTTTGTTTTCCGTTTTTTTAGTGTGATGATAATTAATCCTTTTTTAATATTTATGTACTTACTGATGTTTGTTTTAAATACTGGCTTTAAATGATTTAAGCTACCTTGGGTCCTTTTTGAGGAGAAAGGTGTGGGAAAATATTTTAAATAAATCAATAAATCCCCATTGAGTCCTTGGGCCTTCGCTAGTGCAATTTATTACCCTAAGCCATAGGATATTGGCCTATATGTTTTAAATTGTCTAAAAGCTTAAAACAAATTTATGGGTTGTAAACTATTTAAAATTGTTCTGTGTGCGTCTCGTTATATCCTGTCTTGAGATGATGTAAAGCAAGATATAGATATTCTGAACAAACAAACAAACAAAATAGGTTTTTTTTTCAAGGTCAAAGAAGGAGGTTGACACGATGCAGAAAACCTACCATGTCTGTGTACAGTACCAATCAGCTTATTTACCAATGTCAGTATCCAGTAGACATTACGAGGGTGCAGTGACAAGCAAAGCAGGTAGCGCTGATCCACAAGTAACAAAGATTTAGCCTTCACATAAAAAGCCCAGCCAGCTCTCAGCAGAAGAAAATCCAGAACTGTTCCACTCCATTAAGTCCCCTTTCCAGTTCCTGAGTCAGAAGAAGCAAATGCCTCAAGCTGACATTCTCGGAGATGGGTGCAATTCCCAGGTACAGCTTTTCAGACCGAGAGAGACGGATCCTGAATTTCAGCCTGCCTCGGTTTGTGGAAAGGTGACAACTAATCCCAGACCGAAGACCCTCGATCCCGGGAATTGAGATGGGAAGGGAAGGTAGACATGCAACACGGCAGTAATATGATCCCCAATAGGACCGATTGACTGGATGCTTTAAGGACGGCTTCCAGCTAAATCTGCTCCCCTCCCTTCTCGTCAGATCCATCTACATTGGGCACCCTGAAAGCTGAACTTTGAACTGTGTAACCACAGAGGAGCCCAAAGGCTGGGCCCGGGGGTGGTCTTACTGCTTGGGCCGATGGGGCAGGGCTCACCTAAGCACGAGACTATTGGGAGAAGGAACACACAGATCCCGTATTTTTCCGTGTATAAGACACCCCCATGTATAAGATGCCCCCCACTTTTCTAACCCAAAAGTAAGAAATCTAAGTGGGACTTAGCAAGTGTAGGGGGAAAGGGATCAAAGCCCTGCAGGATCACTTTGATCCCTGCTTTCCTTCCACTTGTTTTTGTTCTTTCTTCAGCTTACTTCCGTATATAAGACGACCCTCAATTTGTAGTCTAAAGAGTTTAGACAAAAGTATAGTCTTATATGCAGAAAAATACGGTACTTAAGGTGTCCTTACACCATGCAAAGGAGGAGGACCGGATAGCAAGCAAGATGTGGATGGCTCAGGTTCTCCACTCTCTGCTGTCTGATCCAAAGTAGGCTTCAGCCACCACTGGTTGGGCCAAGAGGTCACCTCTGCCCTTGAATCACAGAGTGGATGAAGGGTCTTGTTGTTGTTTTCTAATTAGAACAGGTTGGCTCCCCAATCATCAGTCTGGGAGCCGTGATCCAGAACAAACAAAAAAGTTTCCCTGATTCTTTTTGTGATTCGACCGTTGGAAACACACACACACACACACACACACACACACACACACACACACACACACACACACACACACACACACACACACACACACGC